CGCGGTTCCAGGCCAGGGGGCTGCGGGAGCTGAGGCTCTGAGCCTAAGCGGGAGCCTGGGGTGGGTTTAGAGCTGCAAAGCCCGGTCCAGAATAAAGCTGGAGTGCTTAGGGACACAAGGTCTGGTCCAAAATAAAGCTTAAGTGCTGCATTTCGGGGCTGGGGGCTTCTTTCTGGGGCTTAGCCCCTGGGCCAGTGCCACCCTCTCAGGCGGGGGAACTGGAGGCCATGGAGTCTTGCCCAGCCCCCAAAGGCTGGCTTGGGGGGGAGCTGTGGCTGGTGGGGGCAGGGCCACTGGACCCTCACTGGAGGTGGGGGTCCAGTTGCATTTGCCCCCGAAGCCTGGGATGCCAGCCTGCACCAGGCAGAACTCAACATCTGAGATGATAGTCTCTAAATGAAGGGGGCCCAGGCTTTATTGGGGGGAGAGGGAGTGGCAGTGGCAGCTCCTCTGGCCACGAGGCCAGGGACAGAGCTGTGACCTTATGCGTGGCCCTGGGACCTAGGAGCAGCTTCCACCTCGATGCAGGAGACTATGTGGGGCTGAAACATTGCAGAGTTAGCGCTGAAATAAAGAAAAGATCCTGGGGCTGGGGTTGACAAAAGGCAAAACTGGAATAAAAGCTTCAGGGCTGGAGCTGAAATAAAACGTGTGAGGGTGGAGCTGGAATACAAACTATTAGGGCTGGGGTAGAAATGCTGACCGTATAGGACTGGAGCTCTAATGATGCAGAGCCAGAGCTGCAGTAACACTGGGGCTGGAGCTGAAAGAAAGACCTGAGGACTAAAGCTGAAATAAACCCTTCAGGGCTAGAGTTGAAATAAAGATGCTGGGGCTGAAATAAAATGTGTGAGTGTGGAGTTGGAGCAGAAATAATAAACATAGCAGGACTGGAGCTGAAACACAGATCACAGACCCTGGGGCTGAAATGAAGATCATGGGGCAGGGGCAGAAATCCCAACTGCCAGGCTGGGGCTGGCCCGGGCCAGGGCTTCTGTCAGCCGGAGCCGCCAGCAGCCGGAGCAGCTCTTACCCAGAGGGGCCAGCCTCTGCAGCGGAGGTGCCCCGGGCTGGAGC